CTATGAAGGTTAAGTAGATTTCCTCATTTAGGAGACAAATATTCATTCATTTTTATTAAAGCAATTGCAGAATTAAGATACCACATTTTATACGTTTTTATCTTTCAGAGCAAATAATCATGACATTTTCATGGAATATTAAAAAATTCAAGCTGATTTTAAGAAAAGTGACCTAAATGCAAATTATCAAGAGCAATCATTTTGCTGGTTTCTTTTGTCAGACATGTTACTCTCATTGCTTAAATAAGAACAAAATTAATTTAAGCATTTACAAAAAGGAATCTGAGTTTCCTGCATGGCAAATTGATAGGCCCATGTGTTTATCACAAAAATCACAGTTGTATAAAATAATATAACAAAAGATGCACACTTACGGTGCTTGTAGATGACACCCTGGAAAAAAGTCTAATGTAGTGCCCTTCCTGCCACTCTCAAGAAGAAGGTGTTCCCTTGTAAGATAATAGGAGGGTTTATATTTCTACTTCAGTCTCTTGCTAATACGTGTCTTACAAATTTGAGTTACTTTAATCTTCTCTTAATTCTGGAAGAAAGGCAACATGCTTTTTCTGCTTCTTGTAGCTGCCTCCCCTCTGGGGAGGCTAGGCTACATTTCTGCTTTTTGTATTAAGTTCCGTTTTTAACTGGTGGGTAGTCGAGGTTATTTCCATGTGTGACTTCATGTTCACTTTATGCAAATTAAGAGTTTATACTGTGTTGTAAAATACGATTTATCTAGGTATCATCAATAAGCCAACTAAATACTGATGGAGGTTGCGATGAGAGGACGGGCAGGTTCTGATCAGGGTCTGAATTGCATCCGCAGCTCATTCCATAACATTTTGTCCATCAGGGTTTAACGGTAGCAATGGGCCGACTAAGCCTCCTGGAGAGCATATTGAGGTCCCTTGATTTCCCCTTAACAACCTTCTGCAAACCAGTCCTTTGGTCTCTTATCACAGTTCTAATGTGGGAAAAGCTGCAGATTAATTTCACTGTGAGAAATTACTAATATACACATTAGCAGAATTAAGTTTTTATTGTTACACAGCTTAGTTCTCTTTGGGATGGTATATTAGTGTAGAGACATGATCAGAATTGAACAGACCTGTGAAGGGGAAAAAAAATTCTGTACTCATACACAAGTTAATGAACTGGGAAACTGCTGTAATTTATAGGATGTTGGCTATTACATTTTCTTACTCACCATTGATATTCACAATTACTTATAGATGCCATTCGTAATTGTCTGTGAACGCGTATGTTTTTTCTGTTGCTCGTTTCATAGAGAATTAAATTATAAAATGTATCTTACGGTTTTCTTTGATATTTTGATTTTAATACAGCTTAATGTTTTGGACTAACTGGAATGAGCAGCTCCCAAGCATCATGAGATCTACCCTCTCAGGCAAAAATGCACAGGTTATCATTAGTACAGATATTTTGACACCAAATGGACTTACCATTGATCACAGGGCGGAGAAACTTTACTTTTCAGATGGCAGCTTGGGAAAAATTGAGAGGTGTGAATATGATGGATCACAAAGATATGTAAGTAAAACAAATCCCAAACATATTAATTGTAAATCTGTTTGCTTGCATTTGTTACCATCTTTAAAATGAAAATGTTAGAGAAAGATCATTAGTTGCCTAAGTTTCTCCTAATATTAGTTGCATATTAGAGTTAAAACTGAAACCACTTCTGAGCTACAAGTAATGCTCTGTTTACTCACACGTTCCAGTTTCTGGATGACCTTCTGGAGATGCTGGCCCTTACCATGAAATCTGTTTGCGTTAGTATTGAGCATGAAGCATCACTGTCCTAAATTATCTGTATAAGCTTGAAAAAAATGTAGAACTAACTTTATTGGAAGACGTAGTGTTCTGCTTTATGTAGGAGTATTTTAATTTTCCATCCAGTGCCAAACTTTTCTGAATGCACTAGAACTCTTGTGTAATGCTTGAGTGTAACTCTACAAATCTTATTTTTTTTTCTTTTCCAACTATACATTTTCAGATATATTCCACTGCAGTCCGTTATTCTTTAATCATAATACATACTGGTACTCAAGTACTCTATTAGTTTCAGCTCAAGCAGACCTTTCGCTTAGAATATGCTGAAGGCAGCTGACAATTTTGTTCCAAGTTTAGCTCTCAATTCCTCATCTTACATGAAGTCTTCCTTTTGGGGATTTTGCACCTACCAAAGTACATGATAAAATGAATGAAGGGCATGTTTTGCCTTGCATTTTCGGTGTCCGACTCTACAAGATAATGTTTGGTACATCAGCTCACTTTCATATCTAGTAATGTAAAAAAAATAAATAAATCTTTCATATACTGTATAAAAGCCTTGAAACCTTTTTGCGTCTTAAATGAAAATTGCATGTTTTTCTGGAATCTTATGCAGGAGAAGTTCCACATTCTTTGTTTAGAGAAAACTGCCTAATTGGAGCGAAAGAAAGCCAGCTTGTAATAGCAGAACAGAAGCAAAATCAGCATGACTACACATAGAGCTTTGCGTCATTTCCTTTCTTATTTTTCATTTATATAAATTAACTGCAGCTCACTAGTGTTTTCAGAGGCAGTAACTACATCAGAAACTGGACAAACCAAAGCTATATGGATTTTAAAGTATATAATCTCTGACTATGAATTTACTGTGAAAATTGATTAACTTTCTGGAGTTTTTTCTCAGTGAATCCACCTGTGTATCTGAGAATAACGTATGGAAGGCAGTTTGGTTTTCTTTGGGGTTTTGTTTTGTTTTGTCATTTGGGTGATAAAAATGGAATTACTATCTTTCCTTCTTTCATACTATTCCTTGGGTTTTATCCTTTAATTATATCTTGATTCTAACTGTTACACAAAATCTGTACTTACTTTTTTACATAAATTCAGGTCCTGCTTTCAAAGATGATTCAGGTCATTTAGGTCTGTATGTCCTTCAGTTACTGCTGCATCTTTTGTCGGACAGTGTAACAGAAAAGCACATGGTGTTCCAGATGTATGTAACGGATCTGTATTGAACCATGTCCCAACTCAATCGTATTTGCAGAATTGTTTATTATTCTATCTCTTATGTTACTAAATATAAACTATCAAAAGTTTTAATTGGGTTATGTGCAATGATCTTGAAGTTCCTACCTTGACGTTTCTGTTATTTGGTGTTTTTCTTAAATCCTGCTTCGTTCATCAGTTCTCCTAAAATGTATCCAGTCTTATCTGTTCTTATTCGTAACTAATTTGAATAGAATCATAGGACGGTTTGGGTTGGAAGGGACCTCAAAGATCATCTAGTTCCAACCGCCTACCATGGCAGGGACACCTTCCACTAGACCAGGTAGCTCAAGGCTCCATCCAGCCTGGCCTTGAGCACTGCCAGGGAAGGGGTAGCCACAGCTTCTCTGGGCAACCTGTGCCAGTGTCTCACCATCCTCAGGGTGAAGAACTCCTTCCTTCTATCTAGTCTAAACCTGCCCTCTCCCAGCTTCCAGCCATTACCCCTCATCCTGTCACTGCAGGCCCTTGTAAAAAGTCCCTCCCCAGCCTTCTCTTAGGCCCCCTTCAGGTACTGGAAGGCCGCCAGAAGGTCTCCCCAGAGGCTTCTCTTTTCCGGGCTGAACAAACCCCACTCTCTC